GGACCCTTGGGCCGCACTCTCTAGGAGAGCAGGAATGACCGCCGCCTGGACTGCAGGGGGGAGGAGGGCCGGTCAGGTTCGGGCAGGAGCACCCCGTCAGCACAGGGACCAGGGCCAATCTGTGACCTCCAAGCTGGAGTGCTCTCCCGAGGGAGCACCAGATGCTGTGCCCGTGTAGGGCTGCCCCCTGTGGCCTGGCATGGCTCCGGAAGGACCCCGGCCCCCGGCCCGAGGCTGGAGCACCTGGGAAGTAGGACGAGATGCCGTGGGCACGCAGCTTCCTCTGCAGGTCAGGGTGGACTTCCGGGATGTCCTCGATAGGCACCAGGTCTTCAGTGACGTTCCTCCCGACACAGCTCGGCTCGGCCAGCCACGTCGGCAGGAAAGGCTGGACCTGTTGCAAAAGGTGAGAAACAGAGGCGACTGCTCCCCACCTCGGCCGGAGCGCGGCCGCAGAGGCTTTCCCTGGCGTCCTGGCTCCCCCTCGGTTCCCCCTGACCCACGTCCACACAGCCTCAGGAATTAGGAGACACACCTGGGCGCCGCTCCCAGAGCAGATCCGCCCGCGGGCTTCCCCTCACGTCCACACGTCCACACCGGGCAGAACCTGCCAGGCCCCCCGACACCCGGCACTCACCTGCCCTGACCTCACTTCCATCAGTGGCCACACCCCAGACGTTTAAAACTCTGTCCTCACACACCAAGCTCATCGCTGCCCCACAGCCTCTACCTGCACACACCCCACCCCACCTTAACCAGACGGCTCACGGGGGACCCCACACGTGCCCTGACAGAACCCTGTGCCGTCCCCACGGGCGTGGTGACCCAGTTCACACTCCGAGGAGAGCAGGAATGACCACTCCTATTCAACACAGCACCGGAAGTCCCAGCCACAGCGACCAGACCAGGAGAAATAAGCCCTGGCTGGCGTTGCTCAGTGGCTAGAACGTCAGGCCACACACGGAAGGGTCATGGCGTCGATGCCAAGGCAGGGACCTGGACTGCAGGCTCCATCCCTGCCCAGGCGGGGCGGGGCGCGTGGGGGAGGAAACGGATGGATGTGTCTCTCTCACATCCGTGTTTCCCTCTCCTCAGCCCCTCCCACTCTCTCTAGGAAAAAAAAAATCAATGGAAAAAATGTCGCTGGATGAGGATGATCAACAAAAAATCCTGCAAGATGCGAGCTGAGACAGCTCCTCCACCTGCTCACTGATGGACGCCCGGAGGCGCAGGCGCCCTCCTCCCAACTCCCCCGCGAAGCCCCGCTGGACCGACACAGGCACCCAGCCCTGCAGCTCCAACCCTGGCCCGGCCCTCCCACTCCAAGGCCGCTCACTTGGGCGCCCTGCTCCTCCC